TTCTTTTCTTTTCTTTTCTTTTCTTTTCTTTTCTTTTCTTTTCTTTTCTTTTCTTTTCTTTTTTCTCCCTTTCCCTTTCCTCTTTAGCAATTCCAGCCCCCTAAACAGTTGGATATTACTAGCTTTATTCGGAATTCCCCTCCAGATTTTTCCTCAGATATCAAGCACAGTGTCAAGAGGAAGGCGATTTAGCAGAGGACTCTGAATTGACCTCAGAGAGAAACAGAATTTCCAAAGGGGATGCTCTGTCCCGCGGCACAGCGTAGCCGTGCCCCAACACCTCCTGGGCCGGAGCATCCTCTGAGCGTGTCCAGCTCCCCAGAAAAGCTTGTGACGCTTGTAGCTGCTTTCCTGGGGAACCCCTGGGAGAGTTGTTCTCCCTCCAGTGATGCCATTTTCTCTGCCACCCTCCCCCGCTCCCTCCCCGGGCTGCCCGGCGCAGGCAAGGGATGTCCCCGCTGCCCGAACCTCTGCCTGCTCCAGGGGGGCGGCAGCGGGGCCCTGCCGGGGTGATGGGAGACCACAACAGCAACCCGCAATCCATGTCCAGCCACTGCTGAACCGCTAAAGCGAGTTTTATTCAGGGACAAGCAGCGCCAAAGTGCCCGAACCCGCCTAGTGATTTTAACAAGCTTTTGGGACAGGGCTTCTGCTCAAGAGCCGCTCGCAGGGCTGAGTCCCAGGAGAGCGTCGGAGATGGTTTAGAGAGCGCTGCGAGGCGCTGCTGTGTCCGCAATCGCCAGGGTTTTACTTGCAAGGGATTTGAAATCCAGGGAGGGACTTTTACCCTCGAGTACCTCGGGGGATAAACTAAACTCGATTCTGTAAACCAAGCAAAACCAGACTCTTTGGCGTTTCTGTACCGTCTAATCAGATTTCATTTCCATCAGGGTTAGAGTAAGAGACTTTTTGTGCTCTGAGCTAAAATGGAAATATAGATACGTATGACGAGTATTTTCTGGTAAAAAGCTTTCCCAGGTGAAAGGTTTCCACTCTGCACGATGTTAGCTTCTACTACAGGATTATATTACTAAAAGGAAAAGGCTGGTTCTTCCTGCCCTGCCGCTGTGCGGTACTGGCCTCCGTGTCCTCACACGTCCCAGACAACGAGGTTCTTCACAAATAAAATGCAAATGAAGAGTGGGCTGAAGGAGTACCAGCGTCGGAAAACCTCCACCTATTGCAGGAAAAGCTGTCGCTTGTTACCGACAGCCTTTCGGAGGCGGGAGGAACCGCGGTGGTGAGGAGCGGAGCTGGGATCACTCCCTGGCCTCTGAGCCCAGACCCTCTTCTGATCCCCGCAGAACGCGAAGGCTGCGGCCAAAGCTGCCCCTGCTCACACGAGTCTCTTCCTGGGGCTGCCCACTCATCCCGGGAACCACTCACTGGAAAAAACTCCTGAATTTTGGGGAAGATTCTCTCCCCTCCGCCCGGTCGGACGCTGTTCCCCACGTTACCTCTGGGTCAATACCGGCGGAGGCGGGACTGGTGTTGCTGGCGGTGTGCAGTGGGCCCGGGGCTTTGCTGCCTTCCCCCGCGCATCCCCGCTCCCTCTGCAGGAGAATTCTTCGCAGGTGACAGGATACGCTCTACCTGTTGCTCTTCAGTTTCCCCTGAAGGCAAGAGTGACCTAGAAGAGGACATGGGGAGGCCGGCATGGACCTGGCTTGTAGAACTCGCTGCAGGAGGACCCCGGACTCCCCTGCATCCTCTTGTGGCCAGTGAATTGATTCCAACTTGTCCCAGGGGCTGAAGAGATCCAGCTCTGCAGCGTGCTCCTTCTGCACGAGGTTTATCGGGGAAAAGCAAACAAAACCAAAACCCAAACACAAAAACCAAACAAAAAAACCCCCAAACCCAAACAAACATCAAACAAAAAACAAAACCAAACCAAAAATACCTAAAATACGAAAAGAACCCAAACCCAAACCCAAACCAAACAAAAAATACTCCCCCGAAAAAAAAACCGGTTTTGAAAAGTGGCCAGATGGGGCTGGGAATGGATGACAGACCTTTCCCAGCAGGGTGGTACCGGATCACATTTTCCAGGACTGGGCTTGGACTGTTCGGGGAGTGGAGGAGGCTGCGGTGAAAAAAAGATTGGGTAGTAAAACTTATGTTTCCTTCATCACTTTCCTTTTAGTTCTGTCTTTTTCAGCTTTTAATTTTTCTTCCAAGAAAATGCCTTCTAGGAAAATACACTGTCTCAAGGCATTCTCTTTTTTAAGATGTAGGTTTTTTTTGCTTTGGTGGGTTGTTTTATTTGTTTTGTTTTGCTTTGTTTTGTTTTGTTTTGTTTTGTTTTGTTTTGTTTTTAATAGAAGGGAAATGGTTTGCAGCAAGAATAGATGTGAGCACCTGGGACATGCCTCACTCACAGACAGCGCGAAGGGAGGCTGGGACAGGAGTGCAAACAGCAAACTGACTGTGCATCCAAGGCTCCCATGCTCCTAGTTTCACCATCTCAGACCAAATTTCTTAAATTATATTTTCATCTGCTTTTTCGCATTTTGTACCTCTCTTACCTGGGTCGTTGCCCTGGCCCTTCTCTTTCTCTCTCTTAAATGGATATTTTGCTCTGATAAACTACACAGTTCTTATAGGAGACTGTAAGACAAATGCAACAAGTTTGAGTATTTGGCCAATAATCCTGTTGATGGAAGATGGATACATTTCTTTTTCGGCTGGTGGAAAATGTGCAGCTCTCCAGCAGAAGGCTGCATTAAAATTTGAGTGCATTCATAAAGTGGAAAAAAAAATTATGAAAAAGAGCTGAAACCCGCTTTCTCAAGTACCAGTGCGTTAAAGATTAACGCATCCAAAGCTTAAGATGTCCCTGATTTTAGCTCATGGAATCTCTAGCATCGCAATATTTAAAAGCCTGTCAGCACTTCTATTGTCAACTCTTTTTTCAAGGACTTCTGGCTTTCCCTCAGCAGTTTTCGTGGTGGAAGCCTCGAGACTCTCCCTAAAAGCCCCCTTAAATGCCGTTGGAAGCATTGTCCTGGATTTACACGGGGTCGCAGACGGGGAGAGGTTTCCTTGTGATGCACAAAGGACGGCGGCTCAAAATCGCTGGACGTCCTGCCTCGACGGGTTTTTAAACGCAGCTGTGCTAGTAGGTGTAGGAAGCAAAAGTTCTCAAGATAGTACAGAAACACATCGATCCTTCCCCAGGCTGCTCAGCTCAGGTGAACGCGTCTCCATCTCCCAAAGGCGCACCCTGGAGAACTCACACCTGCCACGCACCAGCACTGACTCATTTGGAAGCTGAGGAAGAGCTCTGCTGACCCGCGGGGAGGAGCAGGGGAGATAGAGGGGATGGTGAGGTGTGGGGGGAATGTGTGGAAGTTATATGTGGATTTTGGGGTGGCCTGACAACACGAGACTCCTTGGGAGGAAAAAAGGATCCCTTTCTCCACAGGGAGACCATGCGTATTCAGTCTGAGAGTCTGCAGGTGGAAGGAGCGCAGGGATAGACTGCCTGTATTAACTGATCTTTCACAGTTCCTTCCTTCCTTCCTTCCTTCCTTCCTTCCTTCCTTCCTTCCTTCCTTCCTTCCTTCCTTCCTTCCTTCCTTCCTTCCTTCCTTCCTTCCTTC